GATGGTCTTAGGCGACCCCTGTGAAAGGGTCATTCGACCCCCAAAGGGGTCGTAACCCACAGGTTGAGAACCGCTGTTCTAGAGTAACGGTGCTTGAGAGGTAAGATTTTTGAGACCTTGTATGTCTGGAAATGACTTTATTTCTCACACTTGAGGGTTTAGCTAAATATAGAGTTCAAGGTCAGAAAAATTTTTTTACTTCAGAATTGTAAAGGTAATGCTCCCTTATCTTGTTTGCAGTGTTGCAGTTGAGGGGTGCAAAGTCTCTCCGATGTGCCTTTTAGGTGACCTTTTCATTTTCTTTTGTTCCCTGTGTTCTGAACTATCCCACGGAGGTGTCTTGTCTCTTTTCACTGAGTATTGGTTTCAGTTTGGTAATTCATGGTCTTTAGGCCTCGGACATTTTCTTTTAAAAAATTTTAAAATTACAGTTTATATTCAATATTATTTTGTATTAGTTTCAGGGGTACAGCACAGTGGCTAGAGTCCAGCCGTGGGCAAACTACGGCCCGCCGGCCGGATCCGGCCCGTTTGAAATGAATAAAACTAAAAAAAAAAAAAGACCGTACCCTTTTATGTAATGATGTTTACTTTGAATTTATATTAGTTCACACAAACACTCCATCCATGCTTTTGTTCCGGCCCTCCGGTCCAGTTTAAGAACCCATTGTGGCCCTCGAGTCAAAAAGTTTGCCCACCCCTGGGCTAGACAAATGGGAATTTTTCTTGAATTACATTTTTTACTTTAAGTAATTTTTTATTTTTCAATTACAGTTGACATACAGTATTATATTAGTTTTAGGTGTACACGCCAGTGATTAGATATTACAAAATTTATTAAATGGTCATCCCTAAGTTCATTGAGCATCCTTAAAGCCAGTGTTCTGAACTCTGTGCATCAAGTAGATTGCTTGTCTCCATATTGTTTAGCTCTTTTTCTGGAGTTTTATTCTATTTGGGATGTTTCTTTGTCTCCTCATTTTGGCTGTCTCCCTGTGTTTGTTTCTATGTATTAGGTAGAGCTGCTACGTCTCCTGGGCTTGGTAGAGTGGTCTTATGTAGTAGGTGTCCTGTAGGGTCCAGTGGCACATCCACTCCAATCACCCAAGCTGGGCACTCCAGGTTTGCCCCCACCCCATGTGGGCTGTATGCATCCTCTTGTTGTAGGTGAGCCTTGATTGCTGCTGGCACGTCAATGGGAGGGACTTCCCCCCAGGACAATTGGCTGGAAGAACTGGCTGCAACCACTGTGGAGGATCAGCTGTGCCAGGGCTGATCCCATGGAGCAGGACTTACTTCAAGGGGGCTCTGGTGCCTGCTAAATCTGCCCCATGAGTGTGTCTCTAGTGGAGGATGTTGAGCGGTTCTTCAACACAGTCTGAAGCTGTCCACAGGGTGTGCTGGCTCTGGGGTCTCCCAGAAGGTGAAGGCCAAGATAAAGCCTCCCACCTGTATCCTGCCCCAGGCCACCTGGCATGAGCTACAAAGCAATCTGCAGATGGCTGCTTCTTGTCTTGGGCTTGGAGGTGCTCAGGAGAGGCCAAGCTGCAAACCAAGGTCAGCTGCTGCTAGTGCTGGGCCTGGGGCCACTTAGTGAAAGGTACATAGCACGCTGAAGCCAGATGCTGCTTGTTTGAGAGATTCTAGGAACAGCTGAAGCATGACCCAAGACAAGCTGTTTTTATGGAAAAGCCACTGGAAATGGTTTGGGTTGGGCCAGCAAGTTGGGTGGGGCAGGGACTCAGGGAATCACCAGGGGAGGGCAAAACAATGTTAGGCAGGTTCATGAAGACTCAGATGTGGTGCCCACCTGCTGACTCTGTGGGGAGAAGGGCTGAAAAAAGGAACAGTAGTCTCTGCCAGCACTTTTGAGAGAAAGCTTCCCCTACAGCTTTCGTCCTGGTACCAGACAACTTAGTTCCTCCCCATATGTCCCTGGTGCCCCAACACTGGATTTCAGAGCCAGTGAGTCTGTCCACGCACAGGCCCTTTAAAGGGCCTGGGACTCCAGTAGCCCTCCATCTCACTCAGCCATAATCCACACTGGCTTTTACAGCCAGAAGTTATGTGGACTTCTCTTCCTGGCACAGGAACCCTGGCCCGCCTTGCTCCTCCTGGGGGAACTCTGCATCTGAGAGATCCCTCCCAATTTTTATCTGACCCAAGTGAGTGTGGGACTAGCCCATTCTGCCTCTCCATCCCTCCTACCAGTTTCAATGTGGCCTTTTCTTTATGTTCTTAGTTGTAGGACTTGTCTCAATGTGTCTTCTTTATAGCCTTAGTTGTAGGACTTCAGCTAGATTTCAGGCGGTTCTGAATGGTAGTTGTTCTGTAGTTTAGTTGTACTTTTGATGTGGTAGTGGAAGAATTTTAGTTCAGCATTTACCTATGCCACCATCTTGATGGGAAATCCTTGAATTACTTTTTGGTGGATTTCTTTTCGTTTTTCTGGCATCACTGTTATTCAGATTTCAAAACTGCTGGAATGACCTTTTAATTTCTTATATTTTCTATTGTGCATCTTGTTGTCTTTTCACGCTATCAAGTAGGAGTTTGCTTGCTTCAATTTTCTCTCCCAACCTGTCCACTACAAATATTTTTTTTTCATTTTTGCCACCATAATTTACTTTCCAAGAGCCCTTTTTTATTCTCTAAATATATAAATACTAGAGGCCTGACACATGAAGTTTGTGCACGGGTAGGGCCCCTAAAACTGGCCTGCGATCAGGGCCATCTTCCCTGGCTGCTGGCAGTCTGCCCCACCCCCCGCCGCCAGGTGCCCTCTGTGTGTGGGGCGACTGGTAGGGTGATCGGGGACCTGTTTGCTCGCACCTGCCTTGACCTGGCGCTGCCTGTGTCTGCTGCCACCCACCCCCGGTTCCCCATTCCCTATTGGGCAATCAGGGCCTGCAGGCAGCTCCTGCATTTACTTTCCAAGAGCCCTTTTTTATTCTCTAAATATTTAAATACTAGAGGCCTGACACATGAAGTTTGTGCACAGGCAGGGCCCCTAAAACTGGCCTGCAATCAGGGCCATCTTCCCTGGCTGCTGGCAGTCTGCCCCACTCCCCGCCGCCAGGTGCCCTCTGTGTGTGGGGCGACTGGTAGGGTGATCGGGGACCTGTTTGCTCGCACCTGCCTTGACCTGGCGCTGCCTGTGTCTGCTGCCACCCACCCCCGGTTCCCCATTCCCCATTGGG